CAGTAAACACGATCAAAAGATTTTATGCAGTCATGCAGAAAATTTCTAGATTGAAAATTGAATATAATATATTTTATTATATTTCATATTATGGTAGTGTTGTAGTAAGAGACTTTGCTGTAGTAAACAAGATCAAAAGTTTGTATTCAGTCATGCAGCACCTAGCTGATTGAAAATTGAACCCGTATATAGTACATTATACATGGGAAGATAATGAAATACAAGCAAAAATTATTTTTCAATAAAATCTAGACCAATTTATAGATCAAAATTATTTTTCAAATATAAAAAAACATCCATCCCAGTACTCAGCAGTCTCAAACTTCAATAAACCAAACTTTAGTACGCATTCGTTTTTTTTCTCATGCCAGCGTTTGAAGAAAATATTATGCTTATGTGCATACAACTCATATAAAAATGAGTTAAGCTATAAACAAAATTTATATTATAAGCCAATCACTCATATAATATTTATATTGTAAGGCATAAAATAAATGATTATTTGCCTTGTTTAAAAAAATTACACAAGTATTCTATGTAAGCATCTACATTCTACATATTATAATACTTACATTTTTTAATTTAAAATAATAATATTGTACATTAAATATTAAAATGCTTGTCACATGAAACAAATTTACATAGAAACATATTTTTAATACCCATATTATGCTGCTATATGAACTTTGTTAAAACAAAATAAACAATGCATACATCTTTCAATCCTTGTTTATAAGAAATTGGTTGTGCAAAATACAATGTATTATATAAGTATAATGTACACGTTGAAATTCTGGGTCGTGGACAATACCCAACCACAGTTTTTGATGGGTAGTATGCTTGCCCTTGCCCTTGCTGAAAACCCAATAATAATTTGTGGACTTTCAAAGCGATAAATAACATAAATAACGTTGTAGTGTATATATTTTGTAGATTGTGGTGGATATAATATTATTAATTGGTATTTTACTATAATGGTTCGTCCATACATTGGTAAGCCAGCTTAGCGCCGCTACGAGTTTAATAATAACAGTAATTATTATTATCATGATTATCAAGACGGTCAGTCTCTCACTCTCTCTCTCTCTCTCTCTCTCTCTATCTCCATCTGACTGGGAAAATAAAATGGTTTTAAAAATAATCTACCGAGCGGCGACAACGAATCAACGAAACGTTTACGGACAAAAAATAAAATAAAAACGGAAAAAATTCGGCAGTTTTATTAGCGCTTGCGCGCACGCGCGTTTCCGAGATCCGATTACAAATCGTCCCGGTGGCACAGTCCCCCTAAATATATACATCGTACCGCGCTGTTCTCTATATAACGCGCGGGATGACAATTTGGCAACCACGTCGATCAGGAAGACAGCGACGGCGGTGGTGGTCAAATCACTGCGCGTGGCACGACTTTAATATTATAACATTAATATAGTCGTCTTCATCGTTTCTGAGAGAAATTATGCTAGTGAAATCGGGCGAGGAGACTAACCCGCGAGTTCGAGTTCGGAGAAAATATATTATTGTGTTTGAAAATCATGACGATTAAAATGAATAACATTAAAATCGACAACGTAGAGAAATAAAATAACTTCCTACTTGTAGCCACTTAACTCAGGCGGGTCTCGAAAGAAAATCATTCTTCGTTACCACTATAGAAATTCTGCGAGAACCATGATCTTATATCACGAGACATTGTAGGAACCAAATCGCTTAAACAGGCTTGGATTAGTTGTTAACAATGCAACCAGAATATGAATTGGAATCTTCTGGAAATCTTGGAATTAATACCCTGACTCTAACCCTTATTTAATATTATTAGGGTACCGGAATCGAAATTAGTGCTGATAACAGATAGGTATCTGATGGTATAGATTTTTTGGTTTACATAAATAATAGAAATGTTCTTACAAAACTAAAAAAATATTTTAATGTATAACAATATTTTAATATTATTTTAGCAGTTAAGTTTGTTATTTTCATACCGGATTTCTGAATATTGAAAAAAAATATTAGCTTATCAATTTATTATCAATCACCACAGATTGATAATTATTTGTTTAAATATAAATGTTGGAAAAAAATACAAACTGCAGTAAAAGTGTGTATGATGTAAGTAACTACATGTTTTTGCTTTTTATTACTTCATTCGTGTTTACTTAGATATTTACAATTTTAAAAACCAATTATGTATCTATAGATACTAATTATATTCACTTTTAGGTACTAAAAACAGAATTTGTTTACTGTTATGTTAGCAAAAATCAAAATTTGAGAGAACAATGATATTATTTAAAAATCTATACCGAAACGGGAACAGAAAAAAACAATTAACTTTCCAAACCTAGGCGTTGCACCATAATTTTATTATATTTTGATCGTCATAGCGGAGATAAAATCACTATAGTCATATAAATTATAGGTATATGCAAGTACAACCGCTCCGGGGCCTAAACAGTCAATTGAAGTTTACAATTTTTCAGCAATATCATAAAAACTTCCTAGGTACATAATATATAGAACAATTATTTTTCATTGTTGAATTCAATCAATTAGTATTGTGAAAAATGTATAAATGTCCGTTAGATCCATTTGCAACGAATTTGTTTCTTTAACACTTCCATGATATCCATGGTTATGCGGAAAATTGTAAGTACAATTTTATTTTTCAATTTTAAATATTGAACTTCAAAACACTGCGTACATAAAGGATACACACATATTACCTCCTCACAGGGCTGGCGCATGCAAACAAAGCTATTACGAGATAAACTAAGGCGGCGCTTGTAGACCACCACCCCCACCTCGACACCATCAACAACAACAGCACAGAAACGTATATTATATAATATTATAATCTTCAGCCGGATGAGTGACGACATAATTAATATATTATTATGCAGTCAAAAGCCCAAATGGGCTAAGATTCCCGGACTGAAGAGATTGTTACTTTGTATTATAATAAACAAGGTGATGCCTTTAAACACATTATCTCGATAAATGTTTACCTACTAAATGCGAATTATTAAATACATGAAATGTATAATTTTTTGTATTATTGTATTGTTTAACATTTTAAATGGTGATAGTTTTTAAGTTTTTTAATTTTTTAATTTTTAATTAATGACAATTTATAATATACCTACATTGTTAATTTCATATTCTCCTAGAGGAAAAATATTTTTACGAGGACTTTGATTTATAAAAATCGAACCAGTTTTTAAATTTTTATTACTTCTAGCACTATCAACTGCGATGTTGATAGCTCAACAGTTTTAATTAACCAGTTGTTACAAGTATTTAAAGTTTAAATTAGTGGAATTCCACAACTGCTGAATTACCCTGAAAAATACTAGGCATTACTCCACTGATCTACAGTTATAAAGATGTTATATATGTAAGAATGCAAGATGTAAAAATTGAAAACATTAAAGATGTTGTCACCAAAAAAACAAAAGCACTAAAAAGAATATTAAAAGACCACAACAAATTATACATTTTTGTTTGAGAAAATTAAAAAAAAAAGTTTGTAGTTTTAAGTTTTTGTTGTAATGAGTGCGTTATCTGTTAAAATATTCACCCTGTATAATATATTAATGTATGTATATATATATATTTAAAGTTTTAAAGCGAGTTTTCGCGTTATTCTTAAGCGGTTGCTATATTATAAGTACTGCACATATATATATATATATACATGCACAGACTCTGACGACTAAGTATATACTAAAATGTAGTTCGACGATGACTGTACGCGCAAACCGTAACGGAGGGAGGCTGTGCTCTCTCTCTCTCTCTCTCTCACTGGCTCTCTTTCTTTCCATCCTTCGTCCGTCATGAAATAATGCCAAAATACCTTACGCGGGGGGGCAGCTGACGAAATCGGAGCAAACCGGCGTGTTTTAGCGTGCGTGTAATGGTATTTCAAACGGTCAGAGCGGCTGCTGCTGCTGCTGCTACAACTGCTATACCGCTGCCATCGCTGCAGTGTGGCAGAGGTGGTGGGGGGAGGGGGCACCGATGTCATAGACAAAGCTAAAAATGCACTTGCCACATACATCGCACAGTATTATGTTATTATTATTATTATATAGTTATTATCGACGTGTTCGAGTTTTCCGCTGTCGTCGCTGCTGCAATGACCGTCCGAGCACGCAACATCGGCTTCGTCGTGTATACTATATACAGATGTGAAAAACACGTGTTACCCATGATATTATTAATATACATCTCACTGCATCACGATTCACGAGTACAGCCACAAACGCGATGATTATAAGTTATAACTTATGAGAATATATTAATGTACTGCACATTACGCGTTTACAAACACGCTCACTAATAATAATGTTTGCGTGTGTGTGTGTGTGTGTGTGTGTGTGTGTGTGTGTGTGTGTGTGTGTGTGTGTGTGTGTGTGTAGGTGTGTTTGTGTGTTTGTGTGTTTGTGTGTGTGTGTGTGTGTGTGCGTGAGCATGCGTGTGTGTGTTTGTGTGTCAGTGTGTATGTATTTCAGTATACCAGCTGTACGCTTTGCGGGAGAAAACGCAACCCCCCTTCCGGTTTTGAAATGCGCGCCGATTTCAAATCGTAGTTATCTTCACAACACGTGGACAGATAATAATAATAATATATAATATCATAAAATATAATATTATTATAAGACGACGAGGCTACTTATTGTCGGTATACATATAACATAATATATAGTATACCCATCAACAGAATCTGATCGTCATCCAGAATGTGATAACTTCTTTAGGTACTAATATTTTTTTTTTTAAATTTTTCATTAATTCACATTTTAGTTGTTGGCAACTGATAAGTGTATTCGTTTCGGGTAGATAGTGGCCTAGCGGGTAGCTTCATAGTATGGGTAAGTAGGTGTACAGTCTGTATAGGTACTGGTACCATAATAGGTATGACGTGTGCCCCAAGATCCGGCTGGCATGCCACAGAAATAATCATATTATACTGTATAACTGTATGCAAACATCGTACGTACCTCTTCAAGACAGATCGTACAATAGTGTATTGCAGGCAGTGTCGGTCACCACGTGCGTCGCAGAAAGATTCCTCCGGAGACCAAAGTTGTAGGAGTCACAGTGTAGGCACGAAACGGCCAACGCAGCAGCCGGCTGTTGGGACAAGCAAAACAAAGCATATAAAACGGTTAAACGGCATAATAATTGACAGAATATTCGGTTTTCGGTCGTGTCGTTTTGATAGTAAAATAGTATATTATGTGCACTGCGGGGTGGCGACCGTAAGAACAAAAACCATCAAAATCATAACGAATAATAGACAATATGAATATTACGAACACGTAGTCGTGTACTGCCGATCGCGGACCATCGCTTCCGTCACCAGGTATACGATGGGCAAGGTGGTGTTGTCGTTCGTCTTTTGTCACCCGGACGTGATAACGGTGCGACGACGGGAAAATTGTACACAAAATACGACGGGCCTTACATTATAATATTCAGTATCCGAGTGTAATAATGTTGTAATATTATGGCAATACGATCACGGGGACGGGTGGACGGGGAAAAAAAGGACGGCGAAAAACCGGTGCGACGTTAAATTTTAAACTTGAATCCGACTCGGCGCGGGGGGCGAGCCGGGCGTGGAAAATCCGACAACCCAAACTCGAAGCGAGTGCGCACGCGCGTGCTCGTGTTTGTGTGCGTGTGCGCGCGCACGTGTGTGTGTGTGTGCGTGTGATAGTAATGACGGCCTAGGAGACGCGCAGCCGCTGCAGCAGACGTCCGCGACAACCGCACACCGAAAGCGCACTGGCGATCACTAGCGGCGGCAACGAGCTTTTTTGGCGCGTTTCGAAAGCGGCGGCGGCGGCGGCGGCGGCGGTGCCGTACAGTGTATGCTTATTTTAAGTGTCGGTTCGCCCGAAATGACGTTCGGTCCGCCGCCGCAGCAGCACCGGCTGTGCGCCGGCTGCCGGCGGAGCGTTCGCCTTGGGACGTGCGCAGCGTACGAGCGACGCACCGCCGCCCTCCGCCCCTACCCGTCCAGTCGCGACCGTCCGTCAGTCCGTCAGCTCGCCGCCCGATGGCAGCCGCCGCCGCCGCCGCCGCAGACACCTTTGGCCACCGCGATGTCGTCGGCGGCGTTCGGCACGACGAGCGCGATCGTCGACCGTCGCGCAAATAATATATAATATATATACACATGTATATACGATTACGTGTATATATATATGTAATATAAATTCGTGTAAGTTTAAGCATATATATATATATATATATATATATATATATATATATTATGCAAGTGTGTGTGCACGTGTGTACACGGTGGGCATATGTGCACGCACACTCGTTCGGACCAGGAATAACTCGGACGGCCGACGGGCTTTGCCAAAAAAACTTTTAAGAGTATTTTTTTTTTCGTTTTTTTTTATATTAGAATTTTTTTTTTCCTCGTCGGAGTGCCGCCGACCAAAGTCTCACCTGCCGCCGCCGCCGCCGTCGTCGTCTTAAAACTATTATAATATTATTTTGTTAGATGACATAATATCATTATAGTATTATGTACACATTATGACATATTATTATTACCGTCATACGTTATGATTATTTATCATAATAATATAGGGTTTTGACATTCCGAGAATCCGTTTCTGCAGTCTCGTGCGACGTGTAGGCAATAATAATATATGTGAGCGACTGCAGTCGGCGACGATGTTCGCAAACAGCGTACCCGTTTTATTAAAATTTCAATCTGTCGTCGACTACAACTGCAAAATCACAGCTCCGATACACTCGCAATAATAATGTACTTGACGCATATATCGTATGTGTATGTGATATTAAATATTGTACATTCAAAAGAAGTTACGCCATCCCGTACGAGCCTATATATAACTATTTAAGACCGCGAGTGTTTAAGTTGAGATTTGATTGAGTTATATATAGTAATAACGCGTGGTGCTGCAGAACCACATTATAAATTATATATAGGAACGAGTCTGAACTATAAAGTTTAAATACATTATAGTTATATTATTATGACTTTGTTTTTACGAGTTATTGTCCGATTAAAATAAAATATATTATGTTGATGTGCATCGTATGACACATGTTGTAGCCATGTAGGTATACTATGGTGTAGGTAACCGTTTGCGGTTTACTACTTAGTTACGAGTTGATTTATATTTTTCAACGTATTTGCACTGTCGTATTATGTGACTTTGTTTTTACGAGTTGTTGTCCGGTTAAAATAAAATATATTATGTTGATGTGCATCATACTATGTCATGCAGTTACCTAAGTAAACGTTTACCTAGTCACAAGTAGACTTATATTTTTCAACGTAATTTTCAACGAAATCTCTAGAAATATTACAATAATTTATGTTATAAGTATTAAGTATATATAAATACTTACCAATTATATTAAAATGTTTATATTGCATTATCGTACATGATATACGTTGTTATTTTACTTGCGTTGATCGTTTGTAGCGATCTATCACAGACTAATAATAATAATATCTCTATATAAATACTGCAGAGCGTTAAAATGAAAATATAATATTTTCTTCGAGCCCGATATAATACACTACCACGTAGGAGGATATTGTAGGCTTGATATTTTTCTCCAATCAAATCAAGAATACCTATATAAATTATATGGCTATATCGTATAGGTATACTTACATTTCCATCCATATTACACGCTATATTGGTTTTTCAGCTTTCGGTTTTAATAATTTTTTTGATATGATAGGTGCTTTTAAAATATATTATTCAAGCCTCGGTGCGTACGCGTATTACATAATATTATTAAAATACCATACAATACTTAATATAATAAAATCATATTTATCGTTTGATTGGCAATTGTTACTATAACGATTATTATAAATATATAGATGCATTTATGATAGACAAACAATGAGCAATGCCATTTTCATTACAGGTTCTTTGGACGAATAATTGGGGAAAAAAATTGTTATCAACATTTTAATGCCGATGTGACCCAAACGGCTCCTGCCGAAAAACGTTTCACGAATAAGTAAATTCCCAAATGGCTCCGGAATTCTATAACGAAAGTTCTTTATAATTTAGGGAAAAAATCAAAGATGGTTAGACTTGATGGATTGGACGATCTTCTAATTGATCTGTAGACTTAAAATAGGTAGTGTCACTAATGGGTAGCTTCTTCCCTCAAAAGTTTCATATGTTAAGGTTTAGGTTTTTTTTTTATGTTTAATTACTCTCTATCACTTTTTCTTTATCAAGAATGGATTATAAATATCTTATAAAAATAATATACTATGCATGTAAAATTTAAAAAAAATACCAACAAATTTTTTTATAGTACCTTTGATTTTTTATACAACGCCAAAAAATTTGTATAATTTACTTAACATATACAATTTTTAAAAAAACACCATCATATTTTTACACATTACACATAATGTATTACGTTTTGCACAACGAGAGCCAAAAAATGTATCGCCTTAAATACTTGCCTATAGGTAAGGCGTCTTAGGTTCTCTTTTTTAAGTACCTTTTTTATTTTTAAACCGTATGGTAACTTACAATGCACAGTAAGTAAGTATTTGATGACTGATATTATAAAATAGCAAAGATATTAACATGTGTGAGCAAGCACTCACCAATTTCACCCGATCTCGAATTATTGAGTATAGGTACCTGTTATTGTTTTTATTTTTAATTTTTAAATTTGTTTTTATCTTTTGGAAAATATTCAGACCAATATATTCTATGTATATTACCGAAAAGTGAGATGGAGGATAATTGTTTCATTAGCTGATTATACAATATTAAATTATGGAGTAATATAATTTGGCTTGGCTAATTAAAGGGTAGGTTTCTTTTTAATACAACTAAGACATATTATATTAATGTAATATAAATTTACTTGTAGACTGTAGTATATAATATAACAATAAACAAATAATTCATATGAATTTATTTTTAAATTTTTAATGTTAATATGTTGTAAAATAGTGTGTCATCAATCATCACTATTTATTATTAGATATTATAATACTATTAGATTTGTCTAATCTTACAAAGATGCAGTCGTGCTGGTCAGTGGTCGCAGTTTAACACCGGCATAATTTTTCCATACCATAATCATATTAAACAATACAAACTAAAAATTCAAAAATAACTGATAGTAATACTTATACATAGTGTTATATTTTGTGCTTTTATTTGTCATTAATTTTACGAAGAAAATATATGATCAATCTTGGAATCGGGATGTTGTTTCATTTACAAGATATTTTTTAACTCTATAATTTATTTTTAAGGGTGTGAGTTGAGTGTTGCCATTATTTGCAATTGATGGATATATTTTATCGTTTTTCAAATTATTCCTCTTTAAGATACTGTTAGACACAAAATTATTTTTATTTATAAATAAAGTCGTTATGTAATTTTACCATCATTTTTTTTCGAGTCTAATTTTAGATGAAATGGCATAAGTGCAATTTAATAGTTAAATAAAATAAATACCGATTTTTAATTTGTATTCATATTAATAAAAGTGAATTTAACAAAATCATTTTTAAAATCATACTGAATATGATATGAATATGGATAATCATACAAGATTCGTTTTTTAAAACGAAACAATTTTTTTAGTTAAAAAATAATTATTTTTCATTACCGCAATTAATTTTACTTTGTGCAGCAACATGATAATATCCATATATAACATTATAAATTATAATATATAGGTACAAGCACCCTGCCTATTTATTTTTATCAGATGTAAAACCCTGGGAAGTCTGATATGACTCAGCATCTCAGCTGTACACATGTCGAATTACGTCTATGAGATTATGACTAGACTGTATATTACATTGCATGTTCATAAATAGGTTTACCATTTACCAGTCTCGCATACTACAGATCGCAACAATTGAATAATATAAAAAATAATATAATATAATATAAAATAGGTATTGTCATATATTTAAATGGTATAATAATACATTAATGTTACCTATACAATATACAGGTTGGCAATTAGTAGCTGTTTAAACTATGGTTAGCATGTTTATGATTTTCCATATTTTTATTTAAGGAACTCTTATGCATCAGTTATTCTTGGATATAAATTTTTTTCATGATGTATAAATTCAAATATCAAAATTGTATAATATGTATATATATATCGTGAAAATTTATATATTTTGGTTTTTTTCTGGTTTTATAACTTCTTTTATGATTTTTGATCCAAAATGTATGTATTTAAAAAAAAAAAAACGTTAGTAACTAAAGCTGAATCTAAGCTTATGTATCTGTTATTTTGTAAATAATAATTTTTTTTATCGATTAACCATATAAAAATTATCACTTATATTTTATTGTCTCGATTTCTGTATACTAGCATAGTGATATATGGAAGTGAATGTCATGTTATGTATGTCTCAATTATAAAATGTTAAAGTGTTTTTTTTTGCTTTTTTAAGCGATTTTTAAAAAAATCTGACTTCCAGTTGTTCCTATTATTTTTGCTATAGTTATAACCGTTTAATTAAAAGCACTTCTAGTAAAATTGTAAAATTCTGTTTGGTTTAAGTCAGCATGGTGATTCTAATGACACTTGCCGATCTTATTATTATTATTACTCTAGTTATGTACTAGTAAGCTTTACAACTTGTCAGTTGTTGTTGTTTGCAAATCGTTACTACAACTTATGTGCTTATGTCAAAGATCATTGCCGCACCACATGCAAACCTTTCATAGGTGTTCATAGTTTACATTGCACTTTTTAGACTATTTTCTTAAGTGTATTGTAGTAATGTTCCATGGTATTCTTTAAATTTTTAAATTATGTCATTTAAAGTGTTTTATTGAAGTTTATCATTGATCCCGACAATACATTCCAACCTCCCTTCTTAAAAGTATAAACAATTTTGTATGTAAATT